TGGATGTCTGTCTGTCTGTCTATTAGTCTGCCTCGAAATAGATGTATCGACTTTAACGGAGTTTTCAATTTTCATAATTATTATTTTATCATGTATTTCAACTGAAGTAAATTGGAAAAATATTGGTTGTTATATGTATATAATACATTTTTAAAACAGGGTGGCGTTGGGTACCTAATACATATACTATCTAGTATTATAATAAATTAATAAATGCATATAATGCCCAACGTTTATGTTTCCAACTTAGTTTGTACGTAGATACCTTCCTTCATCTTTGGCCTTGATGACAAGTGATCCATATTTTATTCAAAAGACAATGTAATACCATTAATACCATTTATGATGGAGCATAATAAAATTTCTATACAGAGAACCGACCTTCGTATTAAATCAATACGATATGCAAATTATACATATTGTATTGAGTAAAAAGGTTCTTAGTACTTACCTCTTTATAGGTATACTATATTTAATACAATTATTATTAATAATCGGTAATCTTGTATTATAAAAATTCGCAGCTCAAAACTTTGTTTTTAAAATAAAACAAACACCTGCTATATCATAATAAATAATAATKACCGTTGCAGTATATTGCAAATTATTTTGCAACGACTCGTGCATATTGCCGATTTTCCTGGAACATAAATAAAATAATTTAAAAACTGCATCGTGTTATAGTGTTATAGAAACATAAAAAAATAATAATTTTCCATATATGTACTGTTTGTTTTATAAAGGTCATTTTATTTTAGTCTTGTTAATATTACTGTACTTTAAGAGGCGGATTTCTGATGATTGTCATTAATCATTATAACTAATACAACATAATGCAGTATAATGGGAATATAATAGTAAGCCAGTATAAGGACGATTTACAATACTCAATTAATTGTATTACTTATATTACCAATACATGATAATATTGGCAGATTTCTGAAAATTAAAATAATTATATTCAAATGAAACTTCGTGCTTRTGTAGAATGTAGTGGACTAGTGGAGCTGTTTCAATTTTACCAGAAGGAATCAAAGCACATGAATTATATAGCTTGTCCTGTAGGTATACCACAGTATTCATAAATAATATTATTATCATAGCTATTATTTTAATAACAATTAAGTATTAGGTATTTCATTARGTATTTCTTTTGAAGTAGTGTCAATGGACGCACCCTTCGGCCTTCACTCAAGCCTCCAAACCTTGTAAAAAAAATCTAAAATTTACTTATTGTTTTATTATATTACAGATTGTAAATACATTTATTTATAAAAAAAAAAGTAATAAAAAAAGGTATTTATATTTATATGGTAGGTAGTTTGTATACGTTTGTGCCTACCTATACACCTTCTATTTACGTAATTTACGGTGATTATGAAAAATTCAAAAGCTGCAAATAAAAGGAAGATACCATCATAGGCGTGCACACAGGTGGTATGTAACTGCACCCCCAGCAGGCTCTGCTTAGAAATAGATAGATAGATAAATAATACTTTTTAAGTTATAATTTTTTTTCAAACTCGCGGTAACACGATGAGTGTTACCAGTACTGGTATGTACGAATCTATATTGTACGAAACACGATTAAAATTCAAGTCTATGTACGTCGTCTTGAATTATAATTTATAATTATTATTAACACAGGCAACTAACATTGACATTAACATTGACTTTTAAGAAAAATACAATTATTAAAATTATTATTTTTTTTTTATTAATCCTGGCTTGACTTATTATGTGGCTAGATAACATACTAAAATATTCAATCTGTTTATACTGCGCACCCTCAGCAAAAATGTCCTGCGCAGGCCTATGGGTAGGTACTATATTAATATAATATCATTACACATAGCCACATAGGTAATAATAGTCTATRCTCTGTTATATGATGGGTATAGGCCCAGTGGTGTATTTGCAGAGAGTAACCGATGAGTGGAACGCCAGCTTGAAGTTGATTTTGCTTTGGGATTACAACAAATATATTTTATATCATAATATTATAATTTTACAGACAATAATTGAATTAAATACTTATGAATTATTGAACTGTAGTCGGAGTGAGTATTTCTAATGAATAAATCTTTCCTCTATTTCCTATCAATATTAAGTAKATAATAACTTGTAAATATCAAAACTTTCATTTAATGACGTTTTAGATACTTTTGCATCAAGTAAATCTAGAAAAAAATATTTTAAATAATCATTTGTTTGTATTTTTGTGTTATTACCATATATTTTATATTTTAATATTTAACTAAATTGTATTTTTTAATAAATTAACTATCTAATGTAAATTTGCTGTCTGAGAAAAAATATTTTTCTTATTTAACTAATAAATATCAATTGGCATATAATTAAAAAATAACTTTTTTGTAAAATTAAAACATATGTTYGGATAAAAGATAAAAGATTTAAGTGTCAACAATTCAAAATAATAATATGCAAATATATAGTTTTTTTTTAAATAATAACTTCTGACATATTAAAAAAAAATGTGAATTTAATATTGACCTACAATATTTTTAATTACCACAAGAATAAACAAAACAGTATTTAGTATTATAATTTTAAACCTTTTTGGCAATTTTGTCATAAATTAAAAATTCTAAATGCTCAAAAAGATAAAAAATAATGTAAGTATTTGGTGAGAATGTCGAGTCCCTAAGTTTCTTTCTTTTTGACTTACAACTCATTAATCATCAATATAAATCTAAATATATTAGTATATAMTATTATCATATTAGTACCATCATTAGTTGTGACACAAATTTATTTGTATAATTATGCGAATAGTATTATCTATATTATATTGATTCATGATCAGACAAATATTATTTTATTAAAAACTTCTGGCTTCTATTCATAATTTTTTAAGTCTTAAATTAATTATTATTAGCTATAAACTATAATTTTTAGCAGGGCTTTCGGTAGACCGATTGAAAAAATTTTGATACTGGTTTCTAAATTTTTCGATTTCGGTTTCAATTTTTTAATACCGGTATTACAAAATTTCGGTTTCGGTTTCGATTTTGGATACCGGTTTCTAAACTTTTTGGATTTCGGTTTCAATTTCTCAATACCGGTATTACRAAATTTCGGTTTCGGTTTCGATTTTGGATACCGGTTCTGAAATTTTACGATTTCGGTTTCAACTTTCCAATATCAATATWAGGAAATTATGGTTTTGATTTCGGTTTTGTATGCTGGTTTCTACRTTTTTAAAAACAGATTTAAAGCAGACTTTAAATTATAATTATAAATAGTTTTATTATACTTAAATAGTTAAATACTTAATAAGATTTTTTAATTTTCTATAAAATTAAGAGCAATATTTTAAAAAGAGTGATTTTGTAATTTTATACTACAAATTACAAGCTTTAAGGAACCTAGAACAAAATTATTTCAATGGTYTAAAAACTTTTAAGATAGTATCTACATTTATCACTAGGCTATATTTTTTCTGATGCAAACCTTCTCCATGTTCTGATTTTTTTTTTATATAAATTTGATGAATAACAATAAAATAATACTAGATTATTTTAAAGACAAAATAAATATATACCTATAGTAAAAAAGGATTATAAATTTACAATAATAAAGTATTTTCACACTTGAAATTTTTTTTTTTTTTGATAGTTAAACACAAATTTATGAACACTGAAAATTATAAAAATTAAAACATAATTTTAAATATTTATAACAGAAAAAAATTATGGTTCCTGTAACCTATAATAATCAACTATTATAATTAATTATTATTGCAAGTACTATTTTATATTACCACATTGTTTTACACCAAAGACAATATTTACATTTTTTAAAGACACATATATGGGCCTTTGTCTGTCAAATGTGCTACCGATAAATAATTAATATTATTTATTATTCATTACTACCTATTATAATTTATAATACAACAACTATATTAATTTTTCAAATAATGAAATGGTTATCAACATTTTAATCATGATTTACGTATTTACGTACATTTTAAAATAATTTATGTTAATTAAAAAAAGGCATTATTTAAAATATTAAAATTAAAAAATTTGAGATGTGATAACAACGGTTTCCAATTTTGGTTTTGAATTTAATACCGGTATCAAATTTTTTGCGGTTTTGGTTTTAGATTATAATACTGGTATCCAATTTTTTTYGGTTTCGTTTTTGGTTTCAAGCCCTGATTTTTAGTATAATATTGTGTCATAAAGATCGTAATTATCGTCAAATTAACATTAYTTAACACCAAACATAATAAATACTATTTTCAAAATGAGATCAGTACCAGGTGGTCAATTTGTGCACAGGGACAAGGCATTGTTTACATTTTCATTCATTGGAAAGCAGTGTTTTCTCGTACTTATATCATTTTGACATGAGTATGAAAAATATTTAGTTAATATTAGCTGCTATACAAACAATAGATGTGAAAAAAAACAATAATAGAAGAGTTGATTAATTTAATGACAAGACAATATACTATTTCAAACAATGATAATTGCATGAGTATGCCAAAACAAAAAAGTGAGATATTTTGATAAAATTAGTAATTATAACTATGGCGACCAGTCACGACTGGCGATAAGTAGCCAAAAGTACATAACAGTCAAATAAGGTATTCAAAATGTATAATTATGACCTAAAAAACTGTTATGTAAAAATGTATTAGTTTAATTTAATTTWAATAATGACAATTAGGTTTATATTATGTAGCAAGAAATGTGAGTAAAATATCAAATATTTATGAAATAGGAATATAAATGAATATGAACTGAACAATTTGGATGAGAAAGAATAATATTAAATATCACAATATTTTTCTAGAAACAAATAATGTATAAAAAAATATAAGCAGCATAACATTTCAACTGTCATAAGTATTCTGTAACTATAAATGTTCTATATATTTGTTTGTATTATATAATATTATTTTTTTTTAAGAAACAATCATTGCAGTTGAAAATAGAAAATACAAACAAAATATTTATAAATGGCAATCAGTATTAAATAAGGCGACCAATATATATTATTATATCTCAGAAATAAACAATAAATTAGAAAAGGCGAAATTTGAATTATAAAAGAAAACAGTTAATTAAGTTGACCTAAGCTGTACGTAAAATTATGTGTACACCAGAATCAGTATGGATAGGTTCGCTGAGCTCTCCAATTTTCAATGCAAATGATGCATCTTCAAATGGCTTTTGCATTGTGCCTCTAGTAAATGGTCCCAAATCACCACCACGTTTGGCAGAACTACAATCTGAATATTTCTGAGCAAGTTCAGCAAATGATGCTTTTCCAGAAACAATTTGTTCGCGATAAGCTGTAAATATACAATTTAAAATTCATTAAAAATMTTCAAATTATAGTTAAGTAAACACAAATATATTTACATTTTATAATGTCAATTGCTTCAGATTTTGATCTAGTAATACGTTCTTCCCGCCACGATGAGGGTCGGCGTGATTTTTCATGTTTAACCAATAAATGACTACACTGTACTTGTTCCGGACCAGAATTTGTCGAGCCTGTATTTTCAGATGCTGGTTTTGTTGGTACAGACCATTGGCTTTCTTTAGTTAATAAGTTCAAGTAATAAGTTTGACCTGGAATGTTATAATAAAATTAATCCGATTCCCCGTCCAATTCTATACCTATTAGGTTTATTAATTTATGCAATTTTTAAAACTATAATTTATAACACTATACAGACCCTTATTTAATGCATTTTGTTGCAAGTATCATATTATGTAAACCAAGGGGGAAAAGACCTATCCTAAGATTATATTTGTAATCCCTTTTATTTATAGTGTTAAAAATGTCAATATTATACGCACAAATGTGTTAAGTACACTTTTGTTATAGCTCGGACAACCAATTACTACACATAGGCRAACTCTGAGTATTTTTAAAAATTAGGTAAAGAAAACTTATAGTTATAACCGAGTTTATAGCTATGAATTTAATAAACAAAAAAAACGTTAAATAYTTAATGCAAGTAAATGCTTTTCTAGCACACAATTTGAATTCGTGAATTATGTAAACAATCCTAAGATTATTTTTTCATTTTTTTATTTCACACATTGTGTTAAACTTCAGGCTATTTTTTAATTTGAAATACCTAAGATACCAACCAAAATAAATTAAATAATATCCATTTGTTTTTTGTAAAATAAATATCTACCTATTTGGAAACATAAAAATTGATTATTTATTTTCCAAAAATCGGGATAGTTCCTTGTATTTTTAACGTGAGCACCTAATAAAAAAATGTTTTGAATGCATATTACTGCACAGTCATACAACTTTCATTTACACACACAGTTAGTTTGTGCAAACAAGAGTTCATACAGTCAATTTGCACAGTTTAACTGAACGTGTAAGCTGAACTTTAATTTAGTGCATTAATAGTAAATTTAAGTGCATTTAAAGGTTGTAAAGTGCATTCAATTCATAGTTTTAGTTAAAATGTTTTCTCTTTTAGATGATACAAATCAAAATATTACTTATAGGTATTCATCATAGTATGGCAATATGGCACTAAAATCAAAGAAAGGTCAAGGTAYAAACATAAATACTGTTAAGTATAAGACAGTATGTCAACCATAAAATATTAATTATAATTATACTCTATTATCTATTATGTATTGTATTATTTWAAAGAAAATTGAAGTTATACAGATAATTTAGTGATCAAAAAATAAAGAATAAACTGAGATTATTCACAAATATACTAGGAAAAAATACTTAACTAATTACAAACAAAATTTTAAATAAAAAACTCATAGGTCACTGTCTAGTCTCAGCCAGACACTTAATACTTACCTAAATGACCATATGACTTGATATTGCTAAAATCTTACGCAACTAGAACTTAAATAGAGTAATGGTAACAGATTGGAACTATTAAATTCCATCATTCCCAAATACGGAAAATAAATCCACAATATTAAGTAAACATACCGGTAGACCGGCTAACTCGCTTCTCCCATCCGGTTGGAAGTTGTTCTTCTTCGCTCATTTTTCTGTTCGAAAACTCGGGTTTTCCGTTACGTTTTTGCGATACCAACGAATAACTGAATATAGTCAAAATACTGTATTTAAGTGAGTAAGCGTAGAAATAAATTAAAGAAACTACAAATGTTGTTTACCCTTATGATGTAAAACCTCATAAATAAAAATAATTTTTAATGGTAGGTAGAATTACGATTTATAGATTAAACAGAGTGAAGAGCTAACTTAAACGTATAAACAACGGAGGTCGGAGACAGAACGAACAAAATTTAATCACAATATCGAAGGCGGCTGAAAACGGCGAAAACTAACCCCACGGCCCACAGTCTGGTCCAACAATATTACCAGTGACCGGTTTTATAGTGGTAATGACAGCACGCCATAAACAAAACACTGCTGATCAAGTTCTTATTCTCTTTGGAGATCATACCGAGGAAATCGGAGAAACGTATTTATCGGGAGGTTGAATATCAGGCGAATGTTCCGATGATCCGATGTTCAACGTTATCAAAATCGACAAAATCTATCTAAATCTATTTTGGAGTAGACCACGTCTTGTGTCTTGTCTTGTTTTGTTAATTTTTAAAGTATATGTCATATGACACATTTTCACAATATATTAAACATGTTCGTTTTGTCAATTTTATTCATTGTATAGGATTGATAGGACGTATTAACTATGACCAAATTTGAATCAATACACCGTAAAACGTTTTGAGTTGATTTGAAACGTTTTCAACCGGTCCGAAAATGATGCAAAATTAGAAAGTTCAATAATTATAATTTTGATAATAAAAAATATAATATCATTTATTTACATCGATAAGCAATTCAATAAATATATAATATAATTTTTTTACTACTTTTTAAAATTCTTTTTTTATTTACAATTTATAAATTAATCGTAATTAATAGTTACTTATTAGTATTAAGTTTATTTAATTGAAGTTATCCGAGTTTCTTAGATTTGGAAATAAATTGCAATATTCTGAAATTTACTGATGTGTTCGATTGTGACGTGTCTCGGAATATTCTAATTACAGTTGGGCCAACAAATTACTATTGGTAAGTATTTACGAACATCATATATGTTTAATTCCGTTGTAAATTAATTAAAATTATTGACTAACATTTTAATTCATCACTATTAGAATTTAGAAATAGTTCTATATTGATATATACCTATTGAGATAAAATTAAAATTCTTTATAATTGCCCAGATGTTCTATCAAATTTACATTTATTTTATCTTGGTATTTTAAATTTGAATAGTGATTGTCTGTAATGGAGTTTGTATTTACGTTTAACTGTATATTTAATTTGGTTTTATGTTCTCTTTTACACATAGGTACATAATTTTATATATGTTTTAAAAACATCTTTAATCATTATCATTTCAGATATATTTCATTTCATTGATAACAACCAGTATTTTTTCACCCTCTTAAATTGACATAATTATAAATGTTCCATTCAATTTTTTGTTAAAATTATTTTATTGTTATTCAATGCATATCTGTATGAAAAATAAACTTTTTAGACAAAATAGATGTAGTTCTGCAATTAATGTATATAGTTGATCACACTGATCATACTAAAAAACATTGATGAAAATACTTTATTAAAATATTTTATGGTAATATATGAATAATGTAAATTAATTTGATCGAAATAGCAAACAACAGTTTGTTAGATTAGAGGCAAGCCTCTCTTAATARGGYTCCGGTTCTACCTAATAAATCAATACCAATGAGTAAAGGTTTTTGGTACTAAATCTAATTTATTTCTAGCAACTTTTGRGATCTCTCAGGGAGGTCATTTATCATCCATTTTTTGGCCTCYACACAAGTTTTTCTTAATGAGGCCTAATAATCTTTGGATATTAATTTAAATAAATAAATATAATATTGTTCTCATTATTCATCAACAGTGTCCATCGTTACTTGCAAAAATGTCGTCTACTCTGTTTTGCAGATGATATTAAACTCTATTCAAATATAGGTACTATAGATGAATGTCTAAATCTTCAGATTGATCTCAATTCATTTATTGAATGGTTTGGAAAGTTAGGCTTGTCCTTTAACCTCTCCAGATGTAAATTYATGAAATYGGCTTGGATTCGTTCTCCAATCTTTTTCTCGTACCATCTAGGTTAAACAGATATCATATGTGTAACATGACGTAACAGATGACTGCATCATGGATYTTGGATTCAATTTTAATAGTAAACTAGACTCTGTCCCCCATTATATTTGCTGTAAAGCTCTAAAAACTCCGGTCTAGTATTAGGGTTTCCAGAGATTTTTGTCTGGGATTATCCAAAAGTCATTGAATTGCGCTTTAGTGCTACCAGTCCTAAAATATGGATCATTTGTTTGGGATCCGTTGACTCCAGTCAAATTGAAAGGGTACAGCATAGGTTCCTACATTTCACAAGTGATTTGTTGAGTGTTGTGTATATGCCTCATGATTATACTCCTGTTTCTAATTTACTTGACTTGTCATCCCTAGCTGAATGTAGACATTCTGGGGGCTTTAACTGAAAGGGCTTCTGGACATTAAAGATGATTCTTCCGTCCTTGTCTCCTAGATTAGCTTTAGGGTTCCTTGGGGATAACTAGAACAACTGCTCCTTATATTCCTCAGTCTACCTCCAACTATATGTGTAACGCCCCAATTAAGTGCTTATAGTTAGTGTAAATGCAGATCCCACATTTCTATTATTAGTTTTTGAAAATGTATAAGACTATTATTATGTTATCTTATTTACTCTTTAA